ACACACACACACACACACACACACACACACACACACGCGCGTGCGCACGCACACACACACACACACACACACGCGTGCGCACGCACACACACGCACGCGCGTACGCACGAACGCACGAACGTACGAACGCGCTCATCTGATTGTTTGAGAATTTCTGTTATATCTTGCGTGTATGTTGACAATGGAGTGTTTTTTATTATTTATTATCCCTTGTGTGTTATTTAGTCACATATTATATTCACTTACATATTGTTTTTGTAATGTATGCTTTTCAATTACCTATAAAAATTAACATATTGAAATAAAAATATCGTCACTAATTTGATGACACTGTTGATTAGTTTCCTCAATACGTAATGGCTTTTGTCTTTTACATTTACATCTCCAAGTGTACAGAATCGACAAATGTTAAATACGTCATTGATTGACCTCGAGTGATTGAATATATGCAAAGCTCACACCACCTGTTACTTACATTATCTACACTCGCGAAATGGCCGCCTCCGGCGGCCATATTAGCTCGTTACGCTGATGAGACTACGATGATTTCTTTAAACCCTGGCCCGATTCATAGTAATCTTTTAGTAAAATATTGACTTGATACGAAGACAATAATACAAGGATCCTGTTACTAACATAACATTTTCTGTCCCGGTATTTTCATTCCTATATAAAACCTTTTGTACACACCTAATCCATTAATTGTATTTCTCTTCAAATTAAGGCTAATATAATGTTATACGGAACCCGCTTAATACGATTATTTTTCTTTGGCCTGTCAGTTTCGTACTAACGGGGTGCGACTGTAGTAGTGAATAGTAGTAACTGAATGAGGAGTTTAGGCTTTGCAGTAATTGTATCTATTTGTAAACAATTTAACGCTACTAAAGTTCTTAATTATACATATAAACCTATATAAAATACCTTGTACACACCTTGTAATCCATAATTTTTTCTTTGTTAATTCGGGGCTAATATAATTATGTTGAAGTGGTTAATACGAAACCCGCTTAATACAATTGTTGTTTTTTTGGCCCGTCAGTTTTCTACTAACGCGGTTTGACTGTAGTAATGATTCTTGGAAAAATGTAGGCAAACGCTTCGCAGTAATATGGTTTATATCCTCCGCACGCAGTTTAGCGGAACGTATTGTTTTCGCGCCGTTTGTGGGTTTGTGTGTGAGTGTGTGTGTGTGTGTGTGTGTGTGTGTGTGTGTGTGTGTGTGTGTGTGTGTGTGTGTGTGTGTGCGTGTGCGTGTGCGTGTGTCTGTCTGCTCGATATTTATGCAACCGTTAGAGGTAGAAACTTCAAACTTGGTCCAGAAGTGGACCTTAGGGGGCGGTGGAACCCTATTGATTTGATTGGTCAAGGATCACAGGTTCACATTTGAAGAATGGATAGATAGATAGATAGATAGATAGATAGATAGATATGCGCTGAGTGCGAGCGTTGCAGGCTGGGGGCAGGACTTGATTCACAGCCAGCGCGTGTGCCCGTGGCGAATCCACTGCAAGGTTACGTGACAGACTACTGTATCCCTTAGCCCTGCCTGGTTGCGTTGTTTGTAAGTCTACACCAGCGCACCTAGCCGGGAATAACTGAATCGCTGACATGTTTTCCAGGAGATTTCCATTAGATTTTCAGAAATACGGTTTAAACATTTAAACCAAATAAATTAACAAAAAGCAAAGTTTAGAATCGCAACCTGATGGCGTACTGAATGAAGCACGAAAAAATTTCAGCACGCGATATCCGTGCATGCGGCCCCTCCTCATCTTCTTTTCCTCCTTACTCCCCTCTTCTCTTCATTTTCCTCCTTAATAGCGGGCGTCTCTTCTTCTCCTCTCTTTGATCTTGCCTCTATTCCCTTTCTCTTTAGTTCCTTTCCCTTCCTTTCTCTCTAGTTCTTTTCCTCTTCTTTATAACTTCTTCTTTCTCTTCCTTCTCTCTTCTTTTTCCACCCTCTCTTTTTAGTGGGGCCTTTTTCTCTCCTCTCTCTCTATTCTCCTCCTTCTTCTTCCCTTCTTTTACTTCCCCACTCCCCTTTCTCCCTCTCCTCCTCTCCTCTCCTCCCTCCTCTCTTTCTTGCCTCTCCGGCTTTTCGCCGCCTCTTCCTTTCTCTTTCTTTCCCTTTGTTACTATCTCTCTCTTCCTGCCTTTCCCCTCCTTCTCCGCCCCTACCCTCTCTCTTCCGCTTCCTTCTTCCTCTCTTCTTCTTTTTCTTTCTCTCCTCTCTCTCTCTCTTCCTTCTCCTCTTCTTTGCCTTCTTCTCTTTTAGGCCCTCTCTCCTCCCCTAACCCACCCCTTCCCCTTTCTTCTTCCCTTCTCCTTCTTAGTTCCTCTTCCTCATCTTCTTATTCCCCTACTTTCTCTTTTCCTCTCCTAGTCTTTTCTCTTTTCCGCTTTCTCTTCCTACTATCTTTTCTCTCCTCTCTTCTCTCTCTCTCCTTCTTAGAAGTTATAGCCAGAACAAAGCAGACGGCCACTACTCAAATTATTATATAGATACGGAGTTTACTAAAATCCATGAAAGCAACAACTAACAATTTGTTAGTTGTATTTTCTTGATAAAACCAAACAAAAAAGATAAGCGACCTAAAACCAGGACTGACATTTTAATATGCTCTTAATTATTCGGATAAAAAGAAAACAGAGTATACATATTGCCAAAACGTGCAACAAGATATACATCTGATAATATTTTCATAAATAATACCTTTGGCTTTGCCAATATAAAACATCAATAACGATTTCATTGCGCAGCGATATATTTTTCGCCAGAATACGTCAAACTGCCGACGGAGTAACTTTACTATATATACCTGTTCACACTTCCTTACAAAACAGTAGTAATAGCATAGATCAACCATGAAGCATGCTCTGCCTTCTCTAAGATCAAGATGGACGTATGCAGCATAGCCCTTAACAGATTTATCACCTAGGCCCTTAGGAGATGCGCCTCTGTACTATTACTACCTAGGAAATTGAACCCCAAGCTATCACTTACCCTACAGATCTTCCCCGGGTACAATACTACCTACAAGCACCCCCCACCCCCCGGCACGATCACTACTGTAGGGACATGACCCCAGCATGTTTACCACGTAGGA